AAGTTCTTCAGAGCAGGGACTTTCTCTTTCTATGTGTTTGTTCAGTGATTAGTACTATGGGGCTCCAATCTTGGGTGCGAACCTCTAGATACTACTGTAATACAAATGATAAATTATAATAATCCTTCATGTAGGTTTACTGTAAGTGAGCTCAATAAAAAAAATCATTTAACATTTGTCAGAAAGGGGATTCACATGAAAGTGTACACAAACAGGATATTGCAATAAATCATTAAACAGAGAGGTCTGAGGGCTCATTTTTGAATTTAGAATTCACCATAAAACCACACTCTAGATTCATACTACAATAAGCCATATATATATTATGTCAGTTGCTTATTTTGTTCACATTGCAGTTTATTAAAGGCAAATTTCCAATCATTAACTGTAAAAAAATGTAGTTGTTATATTTTCTTTCCTGTATATCACCATCCTGTTGTCTTATCTGATCAACAGGGTGTGGTGCAGTCGACATCCTCCCAAACCACATACCTTTGGAGGTCATGTGAAAATCTCTGATCATGTTTGTCTGGGTTGGTGTTACAAAAAAAGGAGTACCATATACTTTATCTGCCTGTGCAAAGAAAGCAATGCTAATCTTAATGTGAAAAAGCCCCTGTGCTATCACCAAAGTCAGTCACTTGCTTTTAATGACTAAAGCTGCAAGGTGAACACACATACACACTTTATATAGATACACACACACACATATTATATGGGAGTGTATGCATGCATATCAACATCCATCCACTTTTAGGACAGAAATTGTTTAGCTTTTGGGAATGGTCAGAGTTTTTTAGGCTCTGGCAATAAAAATGTAGATATAGGATTAGAAGAGATGCGCTGTCCTCACTACCTGCATTTTGTGTTGCCTACACTACACAAAATGTTTACTCAGCTTGTTGCTGTACCTTTGAAAACTGACAGACATAGGAAAGAAAGGTGCCGGCTGTACTGATCTATGCACACAGAAATAAAAGGCAAGTTATCCAGTAAGTATTAAAGATTTCCACCCTCACTTAGGCAAAACATTACTATTGTCTCCAAGGATACAGAGACCCTGACCTCCACTATGGGCAGCTAGGTCTAAACAACCTCTGCTAGTCTATGAGGTTGTCTTGGAGATAAAGTATGGGGAGAAGATGAGAATTTAAAAAATAAAATTCCAGGGTCCTGCTCCTCTTTAAAAATGCACTTGTCTTTTGTTCATATTGCAGTCTATTAAAGGCTAATTTCCAATCATTGTATTAAACACACCTATGAAGCTGAGTTTATAATCAAGACAGTAAAGGAACAGCAGCTGTCCCCGCTGCTGACACCATATTACTGAGTATTTAACAATGTCCATCTTCAAGTGCTGTCCTGCTGATGCTAACAGGGACAGCCCATGCTACCAGCACTCACATGTCTGTACACATGCACACTCAAGAAATTTTCTGGTCAATAGCTGAAAGACCCTGCTCGTTCTACAAAAGATACCCCTTCTCCATCTCCCCCTTACTTCTGCGCTGCCTTCAGAGCTGGGTCGCCGGAGAGCAGCAGCTGTTGGCCCAGCTCTGAAGGTAGCTCCATGCTAGCAGCAGTGCAGAAGTAAGGGTGGCAATACCATACCATGCCACCCTTATTTCTGCGCGGCTGCCTTCAGAACTGGGCGGCCAGAGAATGGCACGTACTTGGGGCAGCACCTTGTAAGGGGTGGCCAATCTTGGGGTGGCGGGGCAGCGCTCGGGGGTTTTTTTTGTTTGTTTGTTTTGTTTCGGTGGGGTGGCGCTCGGGGGTGGTTTTTTTTTGTTCGGCGGGGCAGCACTCGGGGGTTTCTTTTGTTGTTGTTTTTGGTTCAGCAGGGTGGCGCTCGGGGGGGTTGGTTTTGGTTCGGCGCTGGGTTTTTTTGTTTGTTTGTTTTTGTTTCGGCGGGGCGGCGCTGGGTTTTTTTGTTTGGTTGGTTTTGGTTCGGCGGGGCGGTGCTGGGTTTTTTTTGTTTTGTTTTTGTTTCGGCGGGGCGGCGCTCGTGGGGGTTGTTTTTGGTTCGGGGGGGCGGCGCTGGGGGGGGGGTTGTTATGGCGGGGCGTTTTGCTTGGGGCGGCAAAAAAGTCAGAGCCGGCCCTGGAGGGCCCAGCTCAGCAGGCAGCAGCATAGAAGTAAGGGTGGCAATACTATACCATGCCATCCTTACTTGTGCGCTGCTGCTGGGGGTGGCTCTGCCTTCAGAATTGGGATCCCGGCCAGCAGCTGCTGCTCTCCAGCTGCCCAGCTCTGAAGGCAATGCTGCCATCAGCAGCAGCGCACAAGTTAGGGTGGCAACACCACAACCTCCCTCTACACCAGGGGTAGGCAACCTATGGCACACGTGCCAAAGGCGGCACGCGAGCTGATTTTCAGTGGCACTCACACTGCCCGGGTCCTGGCCACCGGTCCAGGGGGCTCTGCATTTTAATTTAATTTTAAATGAAGCTTCTTAAATATTTTAAAAACCTTATTTACTTTATATACAACAATAGTTTAGTTATATATTATAGACTTATACAAAGAGACCTCTTTCTTATAGAAAGAGACCTTTAAAACGTTAAAATGTATTACTGGCACGTGAAACCTTAAATTAGAGTGAATAAATGAAGACTCGGCACACCACTCCTGAAAGGTTGCCAACCCCTGCTCTACACTAACCTTGCGACCCCCCCCCCCCACAACTCCTTTTTGGGTCAGTACCCCTACAATTCCAACACCATGAAATTTCAGATTTAAATAGCTGAAATCATTAAATTTATTATTTTTAAAATCCTGTGCCCATGAAACTGACCAAAATGAACCTGGTAGGTCCCTATACATGAGCCATTCATGAAGTAAGAATAGTTAGATACAACATCCCCATCTGCCACCAAACAGATCCTCCAATAGCAACTCTGCCAACACTCAAGGGAATGTTTGACTCAATAAACGTATCTCTGAGTGTGCTCTAAAGGCAGCCAAACCAGCATTCTGTTGAATCAAAGAAGATAATTCCACAACTCAGAATGCTCAGACACCAGCCCACAAAAATTCAAATCATAGGACTGACACTAAGCGAATCCTAGTTGAAATCAGCTGTTGCAACAGGGAACTGGGAAATCCAGTCTCTCTAAACAGAGACTTCACTTCTGAATAATTATGATTTTTTTTAAAGTACGGTTCTTATGGAATGCAGTGTCAGTGATCCCTTGAATAAGCAGAGTCTCACCAGACTGGGGCTCAGAAGATCTGGGATCTATTCCCAACTCTTCCATGTATTTCTTATGTGACCACTGGCAAGTCACTTAATATTTGTGTGCCTCAGTTTTCCCATCTATAAAATGGAGATAATCCTACTGTCACCTCAGAATGAAAAGTGCTACATAAAATCCTAAGTATTATGATTATTATCATTTAGCTTAAAATTTTACTTCAGTGTAAGGCCATATTTTCAAATGCAATACCTAAGACACCCCCCCCCCCAATTTTGTGCCTGCAGTCACTTTTTACTAACAAATATCTGATTGCACAAATTTCAGGAATTTACAGATGCAATTTAGCCATCTGCCTTTAGGACTGTGACCTCAATATAATGCTCTATTCAAATTAAGAATAGTGTATCAAAAAGTACTCTCCCTGTATCTCTGAAATAGCTGCAAACAAATTAGTACATTACAGCAGCTTAGCAAATAAATAAAATAAATAAATAAAGATATCCTATCTCCTAGAACTGGAAGGGACAGGTCATCGAGTCCAGCCCCCTGCCTTCACTAGCAGGACCAAGTACTGATTTTGCCCCAGATCCCTAAGTGGCCCCTGCAAAGATTGAACTCACAACCCTGGGGTTAGCAAGCCAATGCTCAAACCACTGAGCTATCCCTCCTCAGATAACAGATACACACAGCAAAAATGCTATGTTCTCAGGCAGAATACCACATAAAGAAACTACTTTTAAAAACTGTCTTGATTTAAAAATATTGGATCAGATCCTCCTTTAGTGTAAATCTGCATAGCAACATGACCTGCTGTGATGGGATGCATGAATCACACACTGGAACTGAAGGAGTTAAGGGGCAGTTCTGGGCCCAGGAGATATTTATCTTGGGAGATCCTGAGTAAGGATATAGAGTCTTGGTTTTAGGGGAAAAGGTCTGCAAGCAGCAGCTACCCTAGGCCCTAGAGGAGGGACTATCCTTTTTCTAGGACTAGGGAACCCTTCACTCTAATTTCTGGTGGATCATCTGAGAGGTTTTTGACTTCACCCTGGTTTGGGAAAGTAAGTGGGAGGAAGTGGCTGAGAGAGGCACCCCATAAGCACTCTGGGGTGTTTGCTACCACTGCCTCTCATGGTGCCTTGAGTCAGAGCCCAATAGAGAGGGAGGGTTTGGGCTTTCCTACCAACCACCCTCTCATGAAGGGGGCACAAAAAGACAGTTACCTTTTCCGTAACTGGTGTTCTTCGAGATGTGTTGCTCATGTCTATTCCACAATAGGTGTGCGTGCTTGCTACGTGCACCGGTGCCAGAAGTTTTTCCCCTAGCAGTACCCGTAGGGGGGAGCGCCCCCTGCAACTCCTGGAGTGGCGCCTGCCTGGCACGGTATAAGGGGAGCTGCGCGCTCCCCCCACCCTCAGTTCCTTCTTGCCAGACAACTCTGACAGAGGGGAAGGAAGGTGGTATGTGGAATAGACATGAGCAACACATCTCGAAGAACACCAGTTACGGAAAAGGTAACTGTCTTTTCTTCTTCGAGTGATTGCTCATGTGTATTCCACAATAGGTGATTCCAAGCTATATTTGTTGGAGGTGGGTAGGAGTTCACAAGTTCCCAGGATGGAGGACAGCCCTGCCAAACCCGGCATCATCCCTGGTCTGAGGGACGATCGCATAATGCGAGGTGAACGTGTGAACCGAAGACCACGTGGCAGCCCTACAAATGGCCTGGATGGGGACGTGGGCCATGAAGGCAGCCGACGAGGCCCTCCTGCAAACAGTGATTTTTTACAGTCCTCCCACCTTTCTCATATAGGTCCTCCATGGCTCTCCAGGTTTCAGCTCGGACCTCACGATTACTTTTACCAGGAACTTGTGCATCGGGCCAGTGTACCAAATAAAGATCTAAAAGGGAAACACAATCAATTTGTGTTTATTTATATAAACAAAACCCTCCAATGATGCAGCAGAGTAGTTGAATGGCATTCTTCAACCCGTAGCAGTACAAACCACTCCTAATCTATTTCTATCAAAAGTTTATGACTATTACTAAGTGATCAGTAAGTATACTTCCTTTCTTGATTTCATAAACAACACCCTTTACTACTTTAGGCCCCAATCCTGCACACATTTAATTAATTGATATTATTTGTATTGCAGTAGCATCTAGGAGCCCCAGTCATGGATCAGGGCTCTTACATACACATATGCATGGTGCTAAACTTTGAACATGAGTAGCCCCATTGAAATCAAAGGGCAGTACTGTAATAAATATTATTCATAATAATAATGCTAAACCCACACCAACTCCAGTAGAAATTAACAAGAGGCTACAAGAATAGGATCAGATGGTTGCCTGAATATCTCAGAAGTGCTCAGCACCCTCAAGTCTGTGGGAGGTTGAGAGTGCTGCATAGCACTTTCACAGGAGTGGGCCTTTGATGCCCACTGAAAGGAATACTACTGTTTATACATTTCTGTGGGAAATTACAGTACAATCATTCCTTCATGCCGTTGTGTACTAGATTTGTTTGCACCAGATTGCATACATAAAACCTATAGCCCAACCCTTTCACCAAAAATGACACATTTCCAATATAATTTTAAAAAAGGAATAATTTATACATACTGGCCAACATTTTCAAGCCTGGTTGCCTAAAGTCTGGCTGGTGAATCTGTATTTAAGAACCTAACTAGAAATGCCCTCAATTTCAAAGGTGATGAGCAAACTCAGCTCCCTCTGAAATCAGTGAGCACTTGCATCTTTAGCACTTTTGAAAATGGAATTTGGAGTTGCTCAGTATCTTTGAAAATCAAGGTGTTTTTATTTAGATTCTTAAATATGGATTCAGGAGCCTAATTTCAGGCAGCCAAATTTGAAAATGTTGGCCACCACCTTGTACTTTTAGTCCAGTGATACCCAGACAGCAGCTCATGAGCTGCAAGTGGCTCATTAATGTGTCTCCGGCGGCTCTTTGCAGCACATGATATTAAAAAACAGTGTGATTTAATTAAATTATTAACCAATCAGGATGCTTTTACTATGTTATTAACCAATTAAGTTATCAACTTGCATTAATTTAACTTATTTGCTGTGATAATAATATATTCCCCTATCATACTGTTTAAATATGAATACTATAGTAAATGAAAACAATGAATTCACATTACTTTGGCTCTTTTGGGTAATGCTGATCTCTAATTTGGCTCCTGAACCACTGAGTATCACTGTTCTAGTCTAAGACACAAACAGGAAAAGGAAAGAAGTGATTGGCTGAGGTGTGCGTCATTTATAACCACAAAAAGAACAGGAGTACTTGTGGCACCTTAGAGACTAACAAATTTATTAGAGCATAAGCTTTCGTGGGCTACAACCCACTTCTTCGGATGCATATAGAGTGAAACATTGAGGAGATATATATACACACATACAGAGAGCATGAACAGGTGGGAGTTGTCTTACCAACTCTGAGAGGCCAATTAAGTAAGAGAAAAAAAACTTTTGAAGGGATAATCAAGATAGCCCAGTACAGACAGTTTGATAAGAAGCAAGTGTGAGAGTACTTACAAGGGGAGATAGATTCAATGTTTGTAATGGCTCAGCCATTCCCAATCCCTGTTTAACCCTGAGTTGATTGTGTCTAGTTTGCATATCAATTCCAGCTCAGCAGTCTCTCGTTGGAGTCTGTTTTTGAAGTTTTTCTGTTTTAAGATAGCCACCCGCAGGTCTGTCATAGAATGGCCAGACAGGTTAAAGTGTTCTCCCACTGGTTTATGAGTATTATGATTCCTGATGTCAGATTTGTGTCCATTAATTCTTTTGCGTAGAGACTGTCCGGTTTGGCCAATGTACATGGCAGAGGGGCATTGCTGGCACATGATGGCATATATCACATTGGTAGATGTGCAGGTGAATGAGCCCCTGATGGTATGGCTGATGTGATTAGGCCCTATGATGGACACAAATCTGGTACCCTGTGCTCTGGGATGAATATCACCAGCAAGTGCAAGAACCCTTCCAGGCTGGTGCCTTTGACAAAGCTTGATATCTCAAAGGTGTGTGGATTGCACTCGCTATACCAGAGAACAGAACTGAGCTGGAGGGGGAGGGAAGTGTATACTGTACCCTTTCAAAGAGCGGTGGTGCTGCTACTCCAGTTTAATCTTTTACAGTTTATTCAGTGGTTATATTTCTTTAATAGTCATTGAAATGGAGATCTGATTATGATTTATGGCATAATCATTGTGAATGCTCACTTTATATTTATGTTTGATTACAAATATTTGCACTGTAAAAAACAAAATAAATAGTATTTTTCAATTCACCTAATACAAGTACTGTAGTGCAGTCTCTTTATCATGAAAGTTGAACTTACAAATGTAGAATTATGTACAAAAAACTAACTGCACTCAAAAATAAAACAATGTAAAACTTTAAAGCCTACAAGTCCACTCAGTCCTACTTCAGCCAATCACTTAGGCCTGGTCTACACTAACCCCCCAAGTCGAAGTAAGGTACGCAACTTCAGCTACGTGAATAACGTAGCTGAAGTCGACATACCTTACTTCGAACTTACCGCGGTTCAGACGCGGTCCACACGGGGCAGGCAGGCTCCCCCGTCGACTCCACAGTACTCCTCTCGTTGAGATGGAGTACCGCAGTCGACGGCAAGCACTTCCTGGTTCGATTTATCGCGTCCAGACCAGACGCGATAAATCGAACCAGGAAGTTCGATTTCCAGCCGCCGAACTAGCAGCTAAGTATAGACCAGCCCTTAGACAAACAAGTTTGGTTACAATTTGCAGGAGATAATGCTGCCCACTTCTTGTTTACAATGTCACCTGAAAGTGAGAACAGGCGTTTGCATGGCACTGTTGTAGCCAGCATCGCAAGATATTTATGTGCCAGATGCACTAAAGATTCATATGTCCCTTCATGCTTCAACCACCATTCCAGAGGACATGCATCCAAGCTGATGATGAGTTCTGCTCGATAATGATCCAAAGCAGAGCGGACGGACGCATGCTCATTTTCATCATCTGAGTCAGATGCCACCAGCAGAAGGTTGATTTTCTTTTTTGGTGGTTTGGGTTCTGTAGTTTCTGCATCGGAATGTTGCTCTTTTTAGACTTCTGAAAGCATGCTCCACACCTTGTCCCTCTCAGATTTTGGAAGGCACTTCAGATTCTTAAACCTCGGGTGGAATGCTGTAGCTGTCTTTTGAAATCTCACATTGGTACCTTCTTTGCGTTTTGAAAATCTGCTGTGAAAGTGTTCTTAAACCAACAGGTGCTGAGTCATCATTCGAGACTGCTAACACATGAAATATATGGCAGAATGAGGGTAAAGCAGAACAGGAGACAAGGAGTTCACTCACAAATTTAATTAATGTATTTTTTTTTTAACAAGCATCATCAGCATGGAAGCATGTCCTCTGGAATGGTGCCCGAAGCATGAAGGGACATAGAAATGTTTAGCATATCTGGCATGTAACCTCCTTGCAATGCTGGCTACAAAAGTGCCCTGCAAACGCCTGTTCTCACTTTCAAGTGACGTTGTAAATAAGAAGCAGGCAGCATTATCTCCTGTAAATGTAAACAAACTTGTTTGTCTTACCGATTGGCTGAATAAGAAGTAGGACTGAGTGGACTTTAGGCTCTAAAGTTTTACATTGTTTTGTTTTCGATTGCAGTTATGTAACAAAAAAATCTACATTTGTAAGTTACACTTTCATGATAAAGAGATTGCACTACAGTACCTGTATGAGGTGAATTGAAAAATACTATTTCTTTTATCATTTTTACAGTGCAAATATTTATAATCAAATATTATATAAATTGAGCACTGTACACCTTGTATTCTGTGTTGTAATAGAAATCAATATATTTGAAAATGTAGAAAAACATCCAAAAATATTTAATAAATTTCAGTTGGTATTCTATTGTTTAATAGAGCGATTAATCATGGTTATTTTTTTGAATTAATCACGTGAATTAGCTGCGATTAATTGACAGCCCTAGTATGTATATGTGTGTGTGTGTATCTATCTATATATGTATATATATTATGTGTATATACACTTGGTAGTATATATATATATATATACACACACTACCAAGTGATACACATAATATACACACATTGATTTGCCCAAATGTTTTTCTCTTTTGAGGATTACATGAACACAAAAATTATTGATTTAACAAATTTCTGTTAGGAAATTAGTATTAAATAATACAACAAAATACTCTTGGTCCACTGGACTGGCACGTTTTGAGAAGAGCTCCCATTACCAAAATGTTTTGTAAATTGTGAGTGGCCATTTTACTAGTTAGCTGTAAATTAGGTAATAGTATAAATAGCAATGTTAAAACACAGTCTGTTAAAAAAGCAGGAGACAACATCATTTCTAATATTCCTGAATAAAGCAACAGTGTTGAAGACTGAATTCTGCTTCCCGGCCACTAGTGCGAATGGAATCACTAGCTAATTCATTTTCAAAAATGCTTGCTTAGAAAATCCAAATTAATGTATTAATGTATGTCACTTAAATGCAGAATTAAGTAATAGTTGCTATGATTCCTAGCTGTATATAAAAGAAATAACTTTTTGCATCAAGGAAGAAATCAAAGTCATTAACAACCATTTAACTACTTTTAAACACAAGATGCTTTGGCTATGAAATTTGTTTCAAGCACCCTTTAAAGGCAATCAAACTGGAATAATGCAGTAGTAAATATGGCCCTGAGGCTGGAATATCAAAATATGGCACTGTAGGTAACCCTAATAAAAATCAGTGTATGGAGTATTTTTAGATTGTGATACTTAAGTCTCTTGGTGGGTCATTATTTTCTTAGTTGTAGTCACGTCCAGAGACAACAAAGCCCAGAAAAGCTCATCTTCATTCAAAATGCAAGGCTAGTTTTACACAGTTAAAAGTCAGTAGCATGCTTGTTAGTGGAACTAAAGTTTGTGATTCCACTCAAATTCTCAACCCAATAAAAGGCATACAGCTAACAAGAATCTGAGGTTCAACACAGACATGAGGAAAACAAAATAGTTTATGAATTCAGTAACCCACAAAGCATACTCAAAAAGAAATTATTTGGGGGGCTGTGTCCAAATCCAAAGGAATGTATTCTTGTATTGCCAAACCTATAAGATTTGCTGCTATTCCATACTGGTTTATCATGGATGCCAGACACTAATCTTAAATGGAAAGAGCAAGGACCACATTTAGAAAATGCAAGTAATGGAATATTTGTTTTAACCACTGCCCATAAATAATACACATTTCCAGCTTCTCATGGATATATAATCCACTAATTAAAAAAAAAAAACCATGAACACTGCTCTCCTAATACCATTTGTCCAAAAGTGCTCATTGGAAAGGCTCTGTAACAAAATTCTGCTTGGAGCACTTTGTCTTAAAGCACTGACTGGTTTATATTAGCAACATAGATGTATGAGAATTCTTTAGACTATTTCATATAACTTCTTATCAGTTACTACTATTTTAGACTGTGATCCTATAATTTGTTCTGCATGGGCAGACCCATCAGTTCTCACCAAGCCTCACTGAAGTCAATGGGGCTTTGCATGGAATCAGGGGTTCTATGTGGTTAAAGAAGTTTCTGGGGCTTTAGTGTCTTTTCAATTTTCAGTCATATTAAATAGTCAGATTTGCTCTATAATATAAAAATATAAATTGTAAAAACAAAGGCATTGTTTAAGTATCTTCCATCTTATTGCATCATCCATGTATCTTTTATAGAAACTATTAGAAGAAAAGAATTCTTGTTAATATATTACAATACAATCAAGAAAATTTCATTTAGTATTTTACCCTGCTCCTTAGTCCATATACCCTTCTCTCACAGAAGAATTGCTGGTTTCAGCAATTGTATCAGAGATGCTCATAAAAAAAAACAATTTGCTTTCCTAAATAAGCTTGGACACACATTGCCTTATCATCACCACAACTTTTCTCATCATATATTTTCATACCCTGCCTGTTCATAAGAATGAAGAAGACTGGTCTGTGGAAGGCTGACATAAAATAAGGTGCATGTTCATGAATGAAAATAGAGCTGGTATATCTAATTTTAGGTCTACCAGCCTTTAACCGGATCCCTTTATGTAGGTCTCTGCATTGTGGTTACATTCATAAGATTTGTGAGAAGTTTCAAGTTGGGGGGGGGGGGATGTATTCTCAGAAGATTTCACACTTTTGCACTGTCAAAACACTTGTAATTTTATGCCAAAAGATGCTCCTGATAGTACTTTTTGCCTCAAAGTCCATCAAAGCACCCTAGAAACAGAAGTAAATTGGAATAATGGGAATTCAATCCAAATTTATTCCAGCTAATAAATGTGAAATAATCACAGATTTGCCATGACAAAAAAACAGTAGCTCATAATTTTAGTTGAGTCTCTCCACCCTCAAAAGTCATGTCATACATTTTGTCAAACGTGTTAAGTGCTTTAATTTAAAAATTTATTAAAGGTATAATAAACCATTCTAATAAGAAAAAACCATAATACACTTAGATTATTGATACAATTCTCATAAAAAAAGTTAACAGGTCTTGTTTTCCTAAGGAATGTTACACATTCCCACATTACATGGTGTTACAGAATTATCGTAATTTCTAAATGCATTTTATTAAATGCAGAAGCATTATTTGTTGGTAAGACAGAGAGAGATAGTGCAGCATCCATTTTTACTAGGTTAGTGTTTAGAAGGCTATCTTCACAACCATAAGGACTATAATCATATGGCCTGATTTTCAATTCCTATTGACTCTAATAGGATTTGTGAATGTTCAACTCCTCTAAAAGTCAGGCCCCTTTTAAAATTAAAGTTAAAATGTCTCTGCAGGAGTAGCTATGATTTTTAAATTTAAACTGCAAAAAACTGTGGAATCTGTTAACAACCACAACAGAGTGACAAATGACCAGCCTGAGTTATGACTATGTAATCACAGCAAATTGAAAAGAGAGAACTTATATCAGCTAGATTCTGCCTGGCTTTTAGGTGGGTACAAAATACACTTAAGGGATGGGCTGAACTGCAGTCTCTATTCTTTCCAGTTACTCTCCTGGGGGTACACTGCACCCCAAAGGTGGCAGGAAGAGGTAGAACTATGGCTGGAGCTATGGCTAGTCAGTTGTCAGCAGAGATGGCTCACCATGCAAAGGGAGTATGCTTCACCCCTTAAAGTAGTGCAGCAGTTTGTGTGCTCCTGTGCACAGTGGGGGACTCTGGGAGACAGTTGCATGTGCAGCACAAGGGAGGTGTGGCTTTCTCCTGCCCTCAAAGGAAGGCTGTAGCTAAATGTCACAATCTTCAAAATAAAAGATCTGATCCTTACCTCATTTACACAAGTGCAAATTAATATCTCACAAGATGGCAATGAAATTACACTAGTATAAACGTGATGTTAACAAGAGGAGACTCAGCCATGAAGTTCCCAAATTAGAAGATTTGAACATACCTAACAAACACAAGCTATCTCACTCGCTCTCCTTCTCTCATGCCATTCCAGGGACTAGATGGTAACAGCAACTAAAATACTTCTGCCACCTGAAAATAAGTTTTTCAATGCAACTATTCCTGGATCAGCAAACCAAAAAATAATGTATCTGCTGATTACTTGTATGAGTTCTCAGTCTTATCAATTTAGTACCCAAAAAGGATACAAAAGTTTGCAGTATTCAAATAAATTATCCAAAAATGATTTTCTGGAGTTGGATCAAGTTTTCTCTCATCAGCATTCAGCACCAGTGCCACAGCAAGCAGAATAACAAGAGAGGAAATACAAAACATGAGGAGCGGATGAACTAAAGGGAGAGCAGTGATGAAGAAAATATGTTCCTTCTTAATTTAGATAGCAAGGACAAAGTCATGGACTGCAGTTCCTTATTTTTATTTATGAGAGCATCCTTCCAGTGATCAGGATCTGTACTGCATCGAAGTATGGAAGTCGCTTTAGAACATTTCACATTAGTCTGTAGGAAACCACTGATGGATTCATTTGTACAATTAACAGAACTAGAACACACCATGTGTGCACAGACATATGTCACAATCTTTTATTGCATACACTATGGTAGCTCTGATAAATTATTTGGATTCTTTTTTTGTTCACCTTACAACACACTCAGGAGCAAAACCCTAAGCCCAGCACTCAGTAAATATTCCACAAAACCTTTTTTTTTTTTTTTTTACAAAACCTGTTTGTTTCTGCCTTACAGCTTATTTATTGGTGATGGTGGTGGTGCAGGAAGCGGAAGAGGAGCAAAGGGAAGGTTTTCAGTGCCACCGCTGATAAGTTTGACCGTTACATTTATTTTCTTTGGCAGTCAGCACTGACATTTTGGTCTAAGCTTCTACAATAAGATAATCTTAGATTGTTATTTTTCATTTCCTCTCCCCTTTCTTTTCCTCCTTTCAGCTAGGAAAGAGAAAGTGCCCCCCACTCCCCCCAAAAAAGCTTTTAAAATACTCCCCATTTTTATTTCTATGACATCCCCCTATTGCTATCAAAAGATAATGGGCAACTAACTAGTGTCACCACTACAACTTCTTCTTGCCTAAGATAGTATTCTATGTTCTATGACATGAGCTCTAGTGGCAGCCATATCCCTGATTATGATATACTATACTGTAGGTACATCACTAGGATAGAATTTTTAAAAGTGCCTAAATCTCATTGATTTTCAATGGGACTTAGATGTCTACATCACTTGAGCTCTTTTGAAAATTGTACCCAAAGTCTATGGCATCAGATAGCAAGCAAGCTAGTCAAAACTTGTTAAAACATATTCATAATTTTAGAGAAAGTTTAAAGGGTGACATTTTCAAAGGTGACCCCATATTTTCAGATTGGACATTTCAGAAATTATAATTCTCCATGCAAGCAACCAGGACTTTAAGGGTGAACTTACTTTAAAGTTTATACAGCAATCTTTGTTTCCTTAACCAAAACATCTGAACTGTTGTATAGCTGATCCCCAACTTGATTTAACTATTAAATGCAATTTTACAAAATTCATTCTAGTTGATTAAAAAAAGATCTTGCAACAGCTACAATTCTAGGGGCCATATTCTGTGCCCTCAGTTACATACATGCAACCCTCATGAAGATCAGTTGGGACAAGAGGTTTGCAGACATATAACTAAGGGAAGAATTTGGCACCCGTGGTCTATCTCTATTATGAAGTCCATCCTAAAATTTATTTATCTTCCCCAACACTCACATGGGAGGCACAATAAATTAACAACATAAAAATGTCATACCGAGGTACTGAACACCAAGTCTTTTGCATGATTCCAGGCAGGCTTGTTTTGTGTTTTCATAGCCATAGTCACTATGCCAGAGTTTGGTAGTTATCCAGAGGTCCTCTCGCTTCACATCACTTTCTTTGATAGCTTTCTGAAGGAGTGATTCACAGCCGTATCTTTTTGCTGTATCAATATGACGAATGCCACATTTTTGTAGTGCATACACCACAGCATCATGGGAATATCCACCTTGATGGGATGTACCTAAGCAAAAGTTAATAGGCGTGAATTGTTATTACTTAGTGATAAACAGAATTTTGCCAGATTGTCACTGTTGTGACAATTAACACAGTGAGTCCCCAAATAATTATACAAACGAAATGGGAATTGAACGAAAGCGTATACTAAAAAAATACAGACCCTAGGAGAACACAGGGTCTAATTCTGATCTCATCTACATTGGTGTAAATCAGGAGCAACTACACTAAAATCATTGGCATTTCAGCAGTATACAAGTGTAAAAAAGTGAGATCAGAATCAGGCCTATAGGATTTCATGACCTATGAGCATACACTACTATAATTAGTTACTTCTGAAACCAGTATCCTTAGAGAAGGACAGAGACAAGTTATATACAGTATGGCAAATAAATATAAACCACATTCATTCTCCATGTTGGGTGTAAGATATATATTTATATGGTGAAAATATTAATTAAATATTAAAGTAAAAAATGAAAGTATCAGTATGTCACTTCTTAAAAAGAATGAGTTAGATTCAGCAATTTGCTGTGTAAGAGACAAATCCTGAGGTCTTTACTCCATCAAATTCCATGGAGCCCCAGGTCAATATTACACTACAATACTACATAAAGGGCCATATTAATCTCCAGCGTAAATAGTGTAATTCCCATATAAATTTCTCTCCCGCACCCCAGCCCCTAAAACCAGGAGCGACATGGGGCTGAAATCAGCAAACCTCCCCCCGCCCAAGCCAGGAGCAGCAGGGTGCTGAAGCTGGGAGCCCCAGCGTCGCCAGCCCCCCCCCCTGAAGCTGAGAGCTGCACAGGGAGCCCCCCCTCACCCATATAGAGCCCCTATCTACCCCCTGCCTGCACGCTGAGCTACCCCCCTGCCTGCACACACCCCTATCTACCCCCTGCCTGCACCCTGAGCTACCCCCCTGCCTGGACACACCCCTACCTACCCCCTGCCTGCACGCTGAGCTACCCCCTGCCTGCACACACCCCTATCTACCTCCTCCCAGCACCCTGAGCAGTTTTCAAACTTTTTAAACTGAGTACCCCTTGGAGTTATATATTTTGGTTGCATTCCCCCACAGCCCAGACAAGCTGGGTGGCCTCTTGAGGGAGTCTGGGGGTGGAGGTGGTGCTTCCTCCCTGGACTGTGCTGTGTGGAGCTGGCTCAAGTCCTGCCAGCCTTCCCCCTCCCTCCCCCAAATAGAAGTAAAACTATTCCTATGCCCAAGGGTCCACCCGGAGCCTGTTCCCTGCACTCCCCCCGCCCATTCCCCTGCCAGGCCCTGGCGTTTTTACAGCATGCTGAGTGGGGCCTCAGCAACAAAAAGGTTGAGAACCCCTGGGATAGAAAATGGACATAAATGGGGTTTAAATGATAAGACAGTGTAATTTGCACTGCCTAGGCATTCATTGGATGTACTAAATAAATGTATTTTACATGTCAAGGGGATGGAAGGATGAGAATACTTAGCAGGAAAAGCCATTAGCAGAAGGTCTATTAGATAAAGAGTGTTTGTGAGTGTGAAGAGGGGGCTGTTTTATCTTCTATCTTCCTATTAGTTGTTTTTCCTGCTAAGAGCCACCCACCCCTTCACAGTCTTTTCCCAACAGCAATATTTTCCACAATCTCTGTTTGGGGAACTCATAAAAATGAGTTTCTAAGACTATGACTGCTATCAAAGGCCCTAGTCCTGTAACTGACAGTGGGCAGGCAGATTGCTGCATCCGCATTAAGGCTCCTCATTGGGGCTCTCCATGGGCACAGCAGTCTGCCTGCATCAATACAAATTGCAGTATCAGGCCCTACATGATAACCAAGTCATTGTTGAACCTAAAAGGGATAAAGGACTCCAGGTTGCAGAAGAATATTATTCAAGTGACGTATCCCCTGCTGGTTTTCTCCATCCTCCAAACCTGTTTCATTTTACACTGAACACAAAGATCCACACCTTTACCAGATAAGTATACTGTATATATCAGGGGTGGGCAAACTACAGCCCATCAGCCATTTTAAGCCAGCCCTCAAGCTCCCGCTGGGGAGCAGGGTCTGGGGCTTGCCCCCCTTCGGCGCTCCAGCCGGGTAGCAGGGTCGGGGGCCGCTCCACGCAGCTCCCAGAAGCAGCAGCATGGCCCCCCTCCGGTGCTCCAATGGGAGCTGCAGGGGCAGTGCCTGCCGATGGGCAGCGTGCAGAGCCGCCTGGCTGTGCCTCCACGTAGGAGCTGGAGAAGGGACATGCTGCTGCTTCTGGGTGCTGCTTGAGGGAAGCGCCGCCTGGAGCCTGAACCCCTGAGCCTCTCCCCTGCCCCTACCCCCTGCCCAGCCCTGATCCCCATCCTGCCCTCCGAACCCCTTGATCCCAGCCTGGAGCACCCTCCTGCACCCCGACCCCCCCCACCCCCTGAACGCCTCATTTTTGGCCCCATCCCCAACCAGAGCCCTCACCCCCTCCTGCACCCCAACTCCAATTTTCTGAGCATTCATGGCCCGCCATACAATTTCCATACCCAGAGGTGGCCCTCAGGCCAAAAAGTTTGCCCACCCCTGGTGTATAGTCACTAGGGTTATCACAAGGGAGAATTACGGGAAATATATAAAATAATAGTGTTTTTTCTACCCTCACCCTAGTATCCACTATTCCTGGATAGCGGGAAAAGTGGGAGTCACTGCCCACCCTGGTCCATGAGACTCTGCCTCTTGGAACTTTCTAAACCCCAGTGGTTGTCAATCCATGGCCCATGGGCTGCTTGCAGCTCAATGAGCGCACAGATGTGGCCCATGCGACATCCTCAGGGTCGTACAGTTAGTATATATATTGCGTGGATGTGGCCCACATAACACACAGAGAACAGCATATGTGGCCCACGATGGTAAATACGTTGGGAATCACTGTTTTAAACAATCGGTGTTGGAATGAGAAGAGTTTAGGGAATTCCTATGTTGCATGAATAAAGCAAGCTAGATTCTCCTAAAATTCTTGTAACAGTATGTCCAATCACTATCTCAGAATGAAGGTCATGATTAGGTAGCTGCCTAATCTCTCCCATTACACCATGCCAATTTTAAACAAAACAGATTTAACCTGATAGGTGTACTAACTTTAAGTTGATGTAACACCACTGACTTCAGTGGAGGGACTCCTGATTTTAAACAGTGCAAGTAAAATCAGAATCAGGCTTAATGAATGGATAATACTGTACTGTTGCACAACAAATCTTTTACTTCTTCAAATATGAAATAAAGTTTAATATTTTAAAAGTGAAAAAACACGGGGCGGGTATTAAACACTGGCAGTAAATATGAATAATATGAGAGTTTGTTCACAGAAGATCCAGAAATGAGTATGCGTATATTTGTTTCACATTAAAATTCACAAAGCTAAAACAAATTATGTTCATATACTAGATGTTGCAAAAGCTTCATATTAACTGTTTAGAAATTTTAAATGAATATATATTACCACACTTTGACCATTTAAAAAGAATATCCTTATATAATTACACCATGAGATGTTAAAGGAATGTAGAATTATATAACTACCACAAAAAAGTTACTACACTTTTACATAATCATCTTTTCACTTTTAATAAGCTACTCTTGACACCAAATAAATTAGGTTGTAACTATTGTGTCTGTTTGTGGTTGAATAGACATTTCCAAGTACGGAATGAATGAAGTTCATTCAGAGGTCTTGCACATGGGCTCAGACCCTTTTCATGCATAATGCATTCAAGTAAGAATATTTAGGACACATAAACTTTTATTTTTTAACCCTTTTATGATGGGGAATTGTGGAGATTTCAGTTTGTTATTGTTTCTCTTCTAATGATCAAGTGTGTAATATGTTCAGAGGAAATTAACAGACAACAGGGAGGAATTCTCTGAATACAGTATCTGTAAATTAAAATTAGCCATATCACATAGCTACAGAAAATGTAAAAAGTCCCTCAACAATTAGAGAGAGTAGTAAATACTATGAACAACTGATATCATGAAAACCAGGAATTAAAGAACTAATAATGCTACTCAGACTAGGGATTCTAGGAATTGCAGGCTTCTCATATTGTTCATACTGTTGCAGTACCACATGTGCTGTAATTCAGAAGGGCACAAAGACGAGTTAAGGATAGAGGTATAGCCTTAACTCTGAACTTATTTATTTTTTCTTTATTTTTGGTTGGTTGGTTTTTTTTTTAAATGTTTATTGTTAAGTCAGACTTTTACCATTATTTGAATGTACTATCTGGGTCTGTTGTTGTTTAACATCTTTATTTACTACCTGGATGTAGGAATAGAGAGCATACTGATCAAGTTTGAAGATGACACAAAGCTAGCGGGGGGTTACCAATACTTTGGAGGATAGAGCTAAAATTCAGAGGGATCTTGATAAATTTGAGAACTGGGCTAAACAATTAAATGAAATTCAAAGGTAAGATACTACACTTAGGGAAGAAAAAACAAACACACAAATATAGAGTGGGGGGAAAGTGGCTTGGCAGAAGCACTACTGAGAAGGATCTGGGAGTTGTGGTGGATCACAACCTCAACATGAGCCAGCAATGCAACGCTGTTGCAAAAAATGCAAATACAATTTTAGGTTGCATTAGCAGAGGCATAGCATGCAAGTCACAGGAGGTGATAGTACCGCTCTACTCGGCGCTGGTTAGGCCTCAGCTGGAGTACTGTGTCCAATTTTGGTCACCAATGTATAGAAAGGATGTGGAGAAACTGGAAAGGATCCAGAGGCAAGTGACAAAGATGATCAAAGGGATGGAATACAAGCTATATGAGGAAAGGCTGAAGGAACTTTAGTTTGGAAAAGAGGAGATTAAGCGGGGGATATGATAGTCTTCAGATACTTGAAAGGCTGCCATAAAAAATATGGAGGAAAGTTGTTCTCTCTTGCCACAGAGGGCAGGACAAGAGGCAATGGGTTCAAACTACAGCATAGCAGCTTTAGATTAAATCTCAGGAAAAACTTCCTAACTGTAAAAACAGTAGGACAAT